TTTCTATGGTCTCACTGATATAATATTAGTTATATATACTCACTTGGTCAGCCGTCACGACATGAAGTGGCCGTTACTTGAGGTGGGGAGGCAGGGGGGGCGACCGCAGGCGCGAGGCACTTGGCCCCAAAGGGGCGAGAGTCGCGATGCCACCCCTGCTGAAGTACTACTACTACTACTATTACACGTGATGCCCCTCATAATGCCATCTGTGAGGGAGTTACTACACTACGTGTCTGCTGTTCAACACCTCAGCTCACATGATCTACGTGACCTCCGCTGTAAACATTAATCTGTATGTTCACTGTATGTTCTTTTACCTTTCTCTTATGAAGGCTTTTGTTAAACCACCAATGTATGTAATAAGTCATTTATGTCCAATGTATATTTTCAGCCTTCGGGCTGCAGAACTTTTTCATTAAACTGTTTATTATTATTATTATTATTATTATTATTATTATTACACACACACACACACACACACACACACACACACACACACGCACGCACGCACGCACGCACGCACGCACGCACGCACGCACGAGAATTAAGACAACAAGCATCCAGTGAGGGTCTTGTTGTGTGACTGCATGAAGGCGAATTAAAATATCAGTGTTGATGAGCTTATCGCCTGGGAACACTGGTGCATGTTACCATTCCTTTCCACTCCATCTCTCTAATCACCCACACCTTTCTGTTTTCTCACTCCATATTTTAAAATGTTATGGAATGTAATATTGAAGGGATACAACTTTGCTCATTTATACTTATACTTATCACAATCTTTCTAAAATACTTTAGGTTTCGTGTTTATACAAGACATCTTCATGTCATGAGACCCACTAATCCCTACCCAAGAAAGGGTGACCTGACATTCTATCAGAAAGTCAGTAATATGAGACCTGACATTGAGTCAGGTCTGGTCCCTCCCCAAAATACTTGAGTTTTAGTCTTAATCAAGACTTTTCAGAATATGCTCTCGATTTTTTACTTCGGAAAATTTTTTCCCAGAGCCGGATTTTTTATTTTTTTTTATTTCCGGCTTTGGGAATGCTTTTCCGAGCTAATTTCAATTCCGGCTATCGTAGAGTTCAGGGTTTGAAGGATTCCGGCTAGTGGAAATATCACTGTAGTTTGTTAATCTTAATAGAGGTTGACAATCCCTTATCTGAAATCCTTGGAGTCAGAGGCATTTCGGATTTCGGAATTTTTCGGTTTTCAGATTTTTTTTTTTTTTTCGTGTATTAGCCCACCCGGGCACAAGTCACTGACCCACATTGAGGCCTAGGAGGCGAAAATATAATAATAATAATTATAATAATAATAATAATAATAATAATAATAATAATAATAATAATAATAATAATAATAATAATAATAATAATTCATAGGTCTAGGTTGTGTTTCTCACTTTTTATCTTTTTTCATTCTTGTATTTCTTTATTATTATTGTTATTATTATTTTATTAATACAGTATTGTTATTATTATTATTATTAATTTTATTATTATATTTTATTATTATTATTATTATTGTTATTATTATTATTATTATTATTATTTTATTTTGGTGTATTTTTTATTAAAATTTTTATTTACTATGAATAATTATTATTATTATAATTAGTACAGTATTACTATTACATTTTCACCCCCCAGGCCCCAATGTGGGTCAGTGATTTATGCCTGGGTGGGCTAATCACTGTTAAAAAAAAAAAAAAAATAATATGCTCCACAAAAAAACTTAAGGCTTTTGGAATTTCGGATAAAGGGTTGTCAACCTGTACTGTACTGAAAAAAAAACACTTAAAAAATAAAATTAAAAATATATATCAATTGCATTTCATCAACCTTGATATTATCTACGTTTTATATACAGGCGTGCGCCGGTTAACGTCCTAGATAGGTTCCTGGAAACGTGATGTTAACCGAAATGGACGTTGTCCGAAATTACATAAACCTATGGGATTTATTCTAATGGGGGTTCCAGGCACCCAACCCCAAGTTTCTCATTTTACGACCATTTAGACCCACTAAATATATATATAATATTATGGTAAATATCATAAACACACACAGGCATGGCTAGGTTTATTACAAAGTGATGAAAAGGATACTGTAAAGTGGGTAGTCTACAAAACATGTAGCTATGTCTCTCTTTATTTGAGTGCCCCATCAAAGGAGTCCGTTTTTTCTCACTTCAGGACGCCTGAGTCGTCTGTTTTCTCTTAATCTTAGAGTGCAGTACACCAGTGACTTCGTTATTCCTCAGTAATGACACAGAATTTGATATTGTAACTGGGGTTGCAATTGTTGAGGCACCTTAGATATGTCTGATTATTGGAATATTCAAGATCCATTGTGAGTGATGTTTAAAGCTTCAACTGTTTTTATGGTTGGTAAAACTTGTCAAGTCTGTCAGTCTGAGTGGCATGTGTGAGGCCTTGTGTTTGTGTAACCGCTAAATATATAAATACAGCTAGACCCCGACTTACGACTGCTTGGACTTACGACCGCCGCAGTTGTGACCTTTTTTTTTTTTTTTTTAATTTATTTATTTATTTTTTCTTCAAATGACTCACGCAATTTCTATACCGAAACGTTTCCAGTTAATGTAGTCTCCATGTATAATTAGAAAATTATGGGGGCCCCATGTGCATTCAGCTGACTACATTAAAGGTTAAGTGCTCAGTCACACTGTATCCATTCCTCATTATTTATTACTTTTAATGTACTGTATTTCATTGTAGATTTTTTATTTAAAATTTTTTTTTTTTTTTTTTATCTATGTCGGACTTACGACCTGGATTTGGGTCCCTAACCCCGTCGTAAGTCGGGGTCTAGCTGTATATAATGTTATGGTAATTATCAGAAACACACATAGGCATGAGTAGGTTTATTACAAAGTAATGAAAAATATACGATCAATACTGTACAGTGGGTAGTCCACAAAACATGTAACCATGTCTCTTTATTTGAGTGCCCCGTCATAGGAGTCCGTTTTCTCTCACTTCAGGACGCCGAGTCGTCCGTTTTCTCTTAACCTTAGAGTGCAGTACACCAGAGACTTCGTTATTCCTTAGTAATGACACAGAATATGAAATTGCAACCCCAATTGCAACTGCAGTTGCAATTGTTGAGGCAACTAGATATGTCTGATTACAGCAAATGTGTTATTGTCAATTTGTAGGTGAAAGATTTTATCCTCAATAGATGTAGGTTAACATTACACCTGGAGGCAAATGCCTAAGGAAGGAAGGATATTCCTGTAACACATAATATCTGGCCAGTATGGGGAGGATCATCATGTCTCCGTCAGGGTGTTGTGGAGTGGTGGTCCAGCAAGCGTCACGGAAGTTTTTTATTTTATTTTATTTATTTATTTATTTATTTATTTATTTAATTTTTTTTTGAGGGGGGAAGTGGCGGCCACGGACGTATATGTAATCGGACGTTGTTCGGTTGGATGTTAACCGGCGCATGACTGTATACCGCTAATTAATTTATGTCATCGCCAACAGGTTAAGAGGTTCTTTATCATTTATTATTTTGGAAATCTCTTTTATCTAAATTATAAATCTGTGATTATTTATTTTCAAAATTTTGTAATAGAATCGGCATCTATTTAAATTTCATATATTTTTTTAAATACTGTATGTCATTTAATTATCATATACAGTCAGTTCTGCTATAACGCGATAGTTGTGTTCTTGTAAAACATCGTGTTATAGAAATTCGCGTAATAGAAATAACAGGGCTTATGGAGAAAATAGGGTTAGGTGCAGATTACTCGAAATCGAAAAAAATTTAGTAGTTAGCCTAACACAAAGGATAGCACAGTCTAAATAAATGTTACATTCATATCTAATAATGAAATCATACAGTAAATGTAACACTTTACCTTGAAAAAATATGAATATAACTTGATGGGGGAGAAGGGTGATTTTGAGGTTGATAACATCGAGCTTCTCCAAGTGTTATAGCCTTTCTTTTACGATCATCACCGGGAATGCGATCACCAGAACGCTTCTTGGAGATATTCTTCTTTACCATATTCACACTTAATACCACAAAATTGGAGAAATAGTAAGCAAAAATTGCGTTACAGCAAACAAGCGTTCGCGTTATACAAATATCGTTCCTCTATTCATAAATCGCGTTAGCGCCAATTCGCGTAGTCAAAACACGCCCTATAGCAGAACTCACTGTACAGGTACTGTATCATTATAAGATTTACTGTACAGTCTTCCTTCTCCAACTGTGGAGGTTAGGTTCCTCAAAAACCCTGAGGTAGGTGAAACAGTGATACAGTACTTCAAAAAACATGTTTTATTTACCTCTTTTACTGTACATTGCAACATTAAAACTTAAAATTGTAGGCATATAAACAACAATAGCAAAAACATATAAATAGCTTTAATGAAAGAATTAAAAGAGCAAAAAGGATACAAGTTATTGTACACACTGTGTCACAATCTCCTCTAAGCGAGCCACCTGGCATTGACGCTTGTCTTATAAAGGCAACCCTGCTGGAACACTACCAGGCTGTCTACTTCGAGCAACGGTGGTTCATGCCATATGCCCTCTGATCTCTCCACACATGTACCTACAGTTTTAATCTTTGCTTGCCACATGGCTGCTTCACGATGGATACCCGTGGTAGGAAAAACTGGTGACAGTATATAAATAATGGATATTTAAAGCTATGGTTGGTGATGGATAACTGTACTTACTCATTCTTCCATTGTTTTGAACAAAGTGGCAAAATACCATCAAATATTAGGTACAGTACTCAACATAAAAGAATGACTTTCTACACTGGCCCATGAGAGAGAGTTTTTTGATTTTTGTTTTGCATATTTTACCAATTTTGATATACCCACGGAACTCAAAGTTTTCCATTACAAAATTACACAGGGAAATTATTATGTCATATGTATAAGATATATTTTATAAGATTGCTACAACTATGTTTTGGGTAATTTATTTATACTTTTGCAGGCTCGCTCACTGTTCACCAGTGAATTGGCAGACCCTGAACTGTCATCCATCATAGCCACTAAAATGGCTAACATCCATGCACTCAATGTTCCTATCAGCAAAGAGCCCACATGGATATGGAATACAATGGAGAA